AACTGATGTTCAAGGAAAAAAACTTGATGAGTAAGAGTTTTTAAGAGTACTTAGTCACAGGAATAGGATGAGACTTAATTAAACGATGAGTAACATGAGAATGAATTTTAGTAGATGGGACAAGAGACGTTAGTTAGCTCTTTAGAGCAGTGCCCATTATAGTATTTGTAAAAAAAAGAAAGAGAAGCAACATTACCACGATGTGATGATGGTTGAAGGTTGGCTGCAAGAGCAGATCCAACTATGTTTACAATGCGTTTTTGTACCTTGTCTAAAAGAGAAAGGGGATCATTAGAAGATCCGCCCCAGATATGGCAATAGTATTCCATACAAGGGCAGATTTGAGATTTATTTATTTGAGATTATAGAGATAAAGAACAGAATCCGCAGTAAGAAAGTGTCAAGCACAATAAAGAGATGTAACCTTAGCATATGCTAATTTTGCAATGGATTTGATATACTGTTTCCAAAAAAGATTGGAAGTAAGAGTTAATCATAGAAGATGAAGGGTAGATGACTAGGTAGATGACTCATCAAGTACATTACTGTTCATAAATATAGGAAGACCTAATTTATTACAATAATGATTGGCTGAAAAAAATTGGGTTTATCTGAATTAAAGTTCACCAGCCACTGTGAGCCCCATGTTGTAGTAGAAGTGAGATCCTTTTCAAGCTCAAATGCCCCCTCCAAGCAATCAGAGAGTGTTGGCTTCTTATCATGGCAAGAATAAATGGTAGTATTATCAGTGAACAATGCCACCTTAGATGTGAGAATATCTGAAAGATTGTTAATGTAAATTAAAAAGAGTATAGGGCTAAGGATTGAACCTTGAGGAACCCCTGAAGTTACAGAATATGAAGAAGAGTGCTGTCCATCAAAGACAACTTTTATACTACGATTGGAAAGGAAGGGCTCAATAATCTTAAAGATTAACATCTTTAAGATTATTGAGCCCTTCCTTTCCAATACGGTGTATCTTTTCCAGATACACTGTAAGAAGAAAGCTTATGGAGAAGACCAGCATGTCAAACTTTATCAAAAGCTTTAGAAATGTCAAGAGTGATAGCCTTAACCTCTCCACCTCTATCTAATGCATAATAAAACCTATCAGTTATTACTGTTCGCAAATCAGCCGTAGAACAATCTAAATCCATATTGATGATCAGAAAGGAAGTTTTTAGATTCAAGATTAATTAATTGCTAAGGTCTAAATAAAGTATTTGTTTGTATGAGTTTTACACTTTAATGATAAAATAGTTTAAATAAGGGTAATGTCATCTTATACTTTTTGAAAATGCTTTAAAATAACTACACTGTCCTCAAAATTATTTACAAACAATTAAAAGTTATATTTTTTTCAACAATAGTTACTGAATGCAGCAATTTTTCTAAAAATTTTTTTTTTCAAAGAGAATCAAATTGTTAATATTACATTTAAAGACTTGTACATAATTAGACTTGAAAATGAATAAGCATGTTGTTTTGCATGTATTGGTATTTTAATATAAAAATCTTCTAAAACATCAGCTTTTTTATAACTTTTAAAAAATACAAAATCAAAAGTTAATTGTATAATCATTATTTTTTATGGTTACGACACATCTTTTTAAATGTGTCGTGACCATAGATCTTTTTGATAGACTCAATGAGTTTATTAATTTTTTCTTGTGTAATCTTATTCTTATTAATAAATTTGTATGTTCATCAGCATTTTTAAAGGATGATTTGTGTTTTAGAAAAAGTTTTTTTTTTTTTTAATTTTATTTTAGGTGCCCTAAGAAGTCCTTACAGGCTTATCAGAGAGCACCGCAGATGAGCATTTAATTGGAAGTTCATGCCACCTTCCTAACCGATGTCGTAAAACTGACATCAGTTCAACTAAAAGTTCAACTTGATTGAATTTTTAATTGGATTGAGATCTCATAATTGAGCTTGCTACTTCATTAATTAAATTTGATTCATTGCTAGCCATTGTTTATTGAGTTTAGGTATGTGTTTTGGGTCGTCTTGTTGAAAAGCTGTAGAAGAGCTTGTTATCAGCATGAACCATTTTTTACTCAAGAATATAACAATAAACAGGTCAATCCATAATGTGGTTTATTTAATGAACAGGTCTAACTCCATTAAAAAGAGAAAAACAACCCTAAACTGTTGCAACTTTTTCCACCTTTTTGGCATCCTAAACTATTGCACCATTTTAATGCAAGAATACTTTTTCTGTCAGTGAAACTATGTTTTTTGTGTGGTCTTCTGCTCTTATGTTCCAATTCTAAAAGACTGTCAAAAAAGATTTATAAATACACATTAAAGTAGACATTAAACACATCCAAAATATAAATAATTAAATAAAATCATTAAATATATTTAAAAAAAGATATATTTTAAAGTATGGTACTTACATTGAAAAATTTTTCAAACCGTATGCATACAAAAAGCATATACTTTATAATGAACAGAAAGTTGGCAATCAAAAACACGAATCAGAGGTGGTTATAGTTGTATAGCTTCTTCGTATTGTTTCACATCATCCATCACACCAGGAGACGGTATTATCTGGAGAAGGGGGTTTGATATTTCCATTCCCCTAACTCTATAACATATAGAGTTAGGGGAAATGGAGATAATTTAATAAATTATTATTCATGTTTTAATAATAATATATAGATATAATAAAGTATTATTAATTTATAAAAAGAAAACTTTAAAATCTATTCAGAAGTTATGTAAAAAAAAGTGCCTTATAAAAAAGCTATTCATAATTTGTTTAATTTTCTTTTTTAAATATCAAAGCATAATATATAGATACATGCATGCATGTATGTATGTATGTATGTATGTATGTATGTATGTATGTATGTATGTATGTATGTATGTATGTATGTATGTATGTATGTATGTATGTATGTATGTATGTATGTATGTATGTATGTATGTATGTATGTATGTATGTATGTATGTATGTATGTATGTATGTATGTATGAAAGTAGAAAAGTAGTAGAAAATATGTGTAGAAAATATTTAAAAAGTGCTCCAAACAAGTTAAAGGCTCATATGATCTTTCATATAAAAATAGATTATTAATATGACATGCTTAAAATACAAATAAACCTTTTTGAATGTTTTATATGATGCAAGAATTGTTACATGTATGAAAGTTACATGTAGCATACATGTATATATATTTACAGCCCTCGGAATTAGGGTGGGCATTCAGCAATGCTGACCTAACTGTTGACCTAAAAGTGTTTGAGGTATACATATATATAATGCCATATCTAGAGCTGATCTTCAAATGATGCACTTTCTTTTTTAGACAAGGTGCAAAAATGCATTGTAAACATAATTGGAACTATGTTACAATGCGTTTTTGCACCTTGTCTAAAAGACAAAAGGCATCATTTGAAGATCCAATCCAGATATGGTATGTATATATATATATATATATATATATATATATATATTATATATATATATATATATATATATATATATATATATATATATATATATATATATATATAACCTGCAGCTATTGTCACAGTGTCATAATGTTGCTTCTCTTTCTCTTTTCTATAAATTAAAGGCCTTAAAGTTGTAATTAAGTAACAAATTAAGTAGAGTTATCTATAGAGTGTTATCTACCCTAAATATTAGTTTTTGAATGTTATCTACCCTAAATATTAGTTTTTGAATGTTATCTACCCTAAATATTAGATTTAGAGTCTTATCTACCCTAAATATTAGTTTTAGAATGTTATCTACCCTAAATATTAGTTTTAGAGTGTTATCTACCCTAAATATTACTTTTAAAGTCTTATCTACTCTAAATATTAGTTTTGATTTGTTTTAGTTTGCAAATCTAAATATTTGACTTATATAGTTACTTAACTAATTCTAATATAAAATATCTTAAGTATGATAAGTAGAGCTTAAGTATTACAACAAGGTTATTGCAAACTAAAGTATTGGTGAATAATATAGTAGATAAAATTATTAATTTATATTTTACTTGTGCTTAAGAAGAAGTTCAATGTTAATTAACATTAAAAGAAGAAACAGCAAATAAGAATAATGAAACATGATAATTGTCTCAATTAAATGTAAAAAGATTCACTAACTTATTTATTGAGAACATACTATTGGAGTTATCACATTTTTTATTACATTATTGTTTAACTACTTTCATACTAACCACAAAACATCTTAACTTAGTATCGATGTTTATTAGTGGTGTTTACTTACTATATTTATAATACATATTTCAGCCATAAAAGAAACGGTAAGTTATTATTAATTATTAGTTACTATTTTCTATTCGCTTTGTGTTATTTCTACACATTATAATTGTTTATTTATACACGGACATATGTACATGTGTACAAGTTTGTCTCTTCTAATGTAAGTGTACATTATATTTATATGTGTTTACATATTTGTTTATGGTCACACCACGCGCATCCCTCACCATGTCTAAGAATGTTGGAGCTGTTTTACTGGTCACTAAAAAAAAAGTTCACTAACTTATTTAAGTCTACTAAGTACATTTTGAATAAATATTGTTGATAAATAATCAACTTAAAACAAAACAGACACTGAGCATCAGCTCAATCATTTATTTTTGAATTATTTATTAAATTAATTTCAATTATTATCTCAATCATTTATTTCTAATGGATTATCTATTTGTTAAAATAGATTAATCCATTAACTTGAATAATAGAATGATTGTTTAGAGTGTAGTGAAAGGGTAAAATAAGTAATGATAATTATAGTAACAATAATAATAATAGTAATAATACGAGTTATAAATATATAAGCAAAATATAAGAAGCATACACATAGTTTATAAACAAAAGTAACAAATAAATAAAACTCTTTGCAGTAAAAAAAATAAGTATTCTAAAATTTATGTAAAAATTAGTTAAACAAAAATAAATAAAATTTTTGTCGAAAAGAAAAACAATTAATTTTTTTTTTATATATTGCTTATTAACAGAGGAAAGTTTGGCAAAGTTTACAAAGTTTCAGAAATTTCCACTTCTCTAATATACGCAGCCAAGCACATTAAAGTAACACCAAAGCTTAGGGAAGATGTTTTATCTACCATAGAGATCATGAAGTGCTTGCATCATGTTCGACTAATGAGTATATTTGATGTATATGATCTTGGATCTCAAATTATAATGATACTTGAATAGTAAGGTTTTGTTTTAAAATTTTTAAATAAATAACTAAATAAATTTTTAAATAAATTTTTAAATAAATAACTTTTATTTTCCTTGCTATATGAATCAAGAGTTTTATATTTTTCACATTTTTTTAATATGAAATTTTTTTTTATATGTTCTATGCTTATCATTTTTTAGCGTATTATGTTTAAGTAAAGTAAATTTAAGTGAAGGTAACCATAGTAGCCATATCACTTATGAAAGTGATATGGTTACCTTTTTATTAAACAAAAAAAGGTAACCGTATCACTTTAAAATTTAATTTAAGATTCACTTTGCCTTTATAAAACATTTGTTGCTCATTTGTTAGCTTCCCTAAATCCAGAACTGATTTTTTACTTTCTTATAGCAGCACTGGATCCCACATTATTTTTTTTATCTTGCTTTTAATCATAATTACTAATATTAAAGTAGTGAAGTAGTGAGAAGTTCTAACCACATCAACTTTCAACTTTTAAAAAAAATAAAAACAAAATTTTTTTAAATGAGTCTTATCGTCTATAAATTGCATCTTTACACTGATTTGATTCGATCTTTAAACATTTACGAGTACAATTAGTACTCTTTTTTTTCCTTATTTTTATTTTATTTTTTTAATGTTTTAACCTATGTTTAGTAAACTTTTTTTGTTAAAAAAAGCAATAGGCATTTTACTTGAGTAAATTAGATTTTCTATCAGTATTGCTGCTATAAATCATCAACCAATACATCATTATTTAATGTTCTGTATATAAAAACACGTTCAGTAAACTTTTTTTTTAAATGTTTTAAACCTGTGTTTAGTAAATTTTTTCTATTAAAAAAAGCATTAGGCATTTTACTTGAGTAAATAAGGTTTTCTATCAATATTGCTACTATAAATCATCAACCAATACATCATTATTTAATGTTCTATATATAAAAACAAGATCTGCCACTTTGTTTCTTAACTTGGTTTAAATCATGGTTTAATCCAGTCACGTAATTTAATTAAGGAAACTAATTAAAATTAATGGTTTTTTAAAAAACCACAAAAATGCAAATTAAAAGAATAGAATGTTTTAAAAAACATTCTGAATGTTTTTATTTCAGGTCAGGTCAGGTTATCTTGCTACTGGTAACATGTAACCCAGTGCAAACTGCTTCACGTCCTGCTGCCTTTTAGAATACGTTTTTTTAGGAAAATGCTAGATGATGCCAACTGCAACTAAAAACACCCCTGCCTTGGGGCTTTTAGTTGAGTAAATAAATATAAAATAAAATACTCATCTTGGGCAGATGTTAAACGCATCCGGCTACTGTCTTGTAGAAGGCCTCCTAGGCAGAGACTTAAGGGGTAAACAGATTCTATCTGTTGACCAGCCTCGCACCCCTTCTTCATCTATTAGCCTGGCGCAGATGTATTTTTAATACATTGTTTCCATACAATGTTTAGGATGTTGAATGCTAGATCTTCTTGAGTCGATGCATGGGTTTTGCTTGTGTCTCTGTTTTTATGACTAGGCAACTCATTCTATTATCTCCTAATGAGGGTACAGCTCTAAAACTTAGTTTTATGGTTCTGAGGCTGGCTGGTAGTCAGTGATCTTTGAAGTAACTTTTCTTCTGTTGAGTCTTATCTCTTGCAAAAATTAACAGACCTATTTGCTCTTTGTGAGACTAATTTGAGTTCTGCTGTCTCATCTTGTGATCTTAGTGTCGATGGTTATCCTCCTTTAATTCGTAAAGATTCCATTAGTCACATTGTTGGTCAGGCATTTACATTCATAAGAATTCACCAAATTGTTAAGAAACTAGGTTTGAATCCACAGGCTATTCTTTTATGTGCTTTCGTTTAGCAACATTTCACTCTATCGTCTTTCTCTTTGTTCTATATTGCTCTCCTTCATCTCATGACTGCATTATTTTTGATGTTGTTTTTGATCAAATTGACCGAGCCCTCTCTCTTTATCCATCAGTCAATATTATTGTTGTTGGTGACTTCTATGAGCATCATACTGAATGGCTTGGTTCTAGTGTTAATCTTGAATCTTTAATTAGCAAAACTTACTTTATGATCATCAATATAGATTTAAATGTTCTTGTTCTACAGCTGATTTCCTAACAGTAATAACTGATAGGTTTTAATGTGCATTAGATAGAGTGCATTAGGTTAAGGCTATCGCTCTTAACATTTCTAAAGCTTTTGATAGAGTTTGGCATGCTGGTCTTCTCCATAAGCTTTTTTATGGTGTATCTGGTAACAGCTTTTAGATTTTTGAATCCTTCCTTTCACAGTATAATGTCCTTGATGGACAGCACTCTCTTTTATATCCTATAACTTCAGGGGTTCCTCAAGGTTCAATCCTTGGTCCTATACTCTATTTTATTTACATTAACGATCTTTCAGATGTTCTCACATCTAAGGTGGCATTGTTCTGATATTTCTTGTAAACCATATATTAAATCCATTGCAAAATTAGCGTCGTCTAAGGTTGCATCTCTTTATCAAGCTTGACACTTTCTTACTCCGGATTTTATTCTTTATCTCTATAAATCTCAAATCTGCCCTTGTATGGAATACTGTTGCCATATCTGGGGCGGATCTTCTAATGATGCCCTTTATCTTTTAGACAAGGTACAAAATTGCATTGTAATCATAGTTGGACCTGCTCTTGCAGCCAACCTCCAACCATTATCACATCGCCATAATGTTGCTTCTCTTTTTATTTTCTACAAATACTATAGTGGGCACTGCTCTAAAGATTCATTCTCGTATTACTCGTCATTTAATTATGTCTTATCCTTTTTCTGTGACTGTTCCTAAGTACTCCAAAAGCTCTTATTTGTTTAGTTTTTTTCCTTGAGTTTCAGTTCTTTGGAATTCACTTCTTTCATCTTGCTTTTCTGATTCATATAACTTTCAATCTTTTAAGTCATCTGTCTATGGTTTTCTTGCTCTACAAACTTCTTTTCTCTTCCAGTAACTTCCAACTCTAATAGTGGTTGCTTTCAGCCCTGTTGGAAGCAAAAATTTGGATAATTTTTTTTTTTTTTTTAAATAAAAACATTCTGAAAAAAAAACATGTTTAATTTTTAATTTTTTTTTTGTATAACATGCGTAGACTGTTGCTACATCGACTATCTTATAGCTTGCTGCTACATCAATATATATATATATATATATATATATATATATATATATA